CGCTCCCACTATCCAATAAAATCCGCACTGGATCGCCACGGAACACGCCCTCCAGCATTAAAGCTGATTCACGCATATCCTCGAGCTCCATCTTGTTCCACACACAGTTGAGTTGACGAGCAATAACCGAATGGACGCCAGTAAATTGGCCGCGTCCCCGGCTCCAATGTAATCCCATGCTCCACACCTCGTAATGGAGGCAATCCATGAGGAAGTTCAGATGGAAAAACATCAGAAAACTCGTCGAGTACATCCCGTAACTGCGGACAATCAGCCTTGTAGTGTCCAAGTTCGCCGCAATGATGACAACCCTGTCTATAATTCTTCACAAAGAACTTCTGCTTCTTGGACCCCTTTGCATCTGAAGTAGTCACCACCGACTTCAACTTGTGATGCTTGTTCCCATCCTTGTGTCCACGGCGATCATCACAACGATTCTCGACAGAAGGACTCCGCGAACGCTTGCGAGACTTGTGCTTGTCATTGTCAAGTCGACGAGCCGCATCAAAGAGCTCCTCCAAACTCTTTGTAGGCTGAGAATGACGCAAGTGTTGCCGCATGCTCTCACTATGTAGGCCATCAATGAAGTAGGACTTGTTCTGATCTGGATCCTTCGTTGGAACACGACTAATCAAGCGAGTAAGCTTCTCAATATAATCCCCGAGCGTCATTTTCCCTTGCTGGAAATGGCGAAGTTCTGTACGAGCATTCTCCACGTCGTAATGAGGGGCAAAACGTAAACGGAAAGCAGCCTCAAACTCATCCATGGTAGACACTGGTGGTTTCTTATCCACAACACGGGACTCCTCAAGCCAATTCCACCATCGAAGACCCGCATCACGCAAAACCATCGGAATAGCCACTAAAGCCTCTGCATCTGGAGTTCCTCTAGCAGCCAAAAACTTCTTCACATTGGCTAGCCAAGCAAGACACTCGTCCACACCACCATCACTGGAAAAGGTTGGAATCTTGAGTCGATCTACCAAAGAAGGTTTACTTGGAGCGCTACCCCGTCCAGCCTCGAGTGCCTCAACACGCCCACGCATGGTATCCATCATGCCATGCATCTCGTCTTGCATCTCTTACTGATTTTTATTAAGGGCTCGCAGCTCATGAACCACATCTTGAATGGTCCAAATCTCCGCAGCTTCGTCGGCACCACCATCGACAATAGGATTCCAGCGTTCAGCTTGGTCGGCCATCGCAACCAATGCTCTGATACCAATGTTATGATCCGGCGCAAAAAGACAAAGATCTCATTGCCCTAGACTATGCTACGCCACCTCTTGAGGTTCCTCACCACCCAACCACCCCCGAGCTACCTCAAAAGCTCCACTGCGCCGCCGCTCCACCGTGAGCCCTAGGGTAGGTTAAGTCCCTTACCCTAACATGCCTTAATATACCCTTGAGCCTCCCTTTGACCGACGTTGACCACGTAGTCAAAGCTGGCACCTAACATACAGCATGTGATGCACTATCATTCGATCTCAATAAAAGAAAAAAAACTAATTTGATATTGCAAGTACTGAAAGATAGTTCTTTAAAGAACTTCTTACCATATTTTGTTGGAGCATACTGATGCCAATGGAAAGTAAACCTGCTAACTACTAAAGCATATTCGTACTTACAAGTAAAAATTGATTACTCCCTATTAATCTTATAAAAAATACGAAACACTTTAAACCTGGTTTATTGTAGCTATCCGTTGGAGTATTTCTCAAAAACTAAGAAGGATTAGCCAATCGCCCCATTTGTGAATCAACTCTAGCTCCTGGGAGATTTTATTGGAGATGAATCGCCTGGACTAGGTTGTGTTGCCGCAACAATGTGAGGGTGAGGATTACAATGTGCCCAGCGGCAGGATTACACTGGCAAGTCTGCTCCACCTACATCAATTGTCACTTCGAGCAAGCAATTACTCCTGGATCCACCCACATTGTCCTCATTGAAGCTCAAACATAGCAAATGTCACAAGAATGAATTTGTCATTGTTTGCTCTCTCTCTCTCTTACATCGTGTTCTGGACTCTCAAATTAAACCTATTTGATGGCCCACTGTCATGTGAGTCGCTCTGAAAGTACAATTTTATCAAACCGTGTACCATGCATACTGCTCATATGGTGTGCTCAACCTGTCTGGCCCTATTCACTGTCATGTGAGTAATCAAACCGTGTACCATGCATACTGCTCATATGGTGTGCTCAAACCTGTCTGGACTCTCAGATTAAGCCCCATTGTATGCCCCGATGGCCAACTGTCATGTTTGATCGGGAGTTGCAATATTTACTCCGACAGCACAATTTTTTTTGTAACATGCATATGGTGTGCTCAACCTAACCCTATCGTATGCCTTTTCGAGTATTTAAATACTGCCCCTCCGTGTACCATGCATACTGCTCATATGGTGTGCTCAAACCTGTCTGGACTCTCAGATTAAGCCCCATTGTATGCCCCGATGGCCAACTGTCATGTTTGATCGGGAGTTGCAATATTTACTCCGACAGCACAATTTTTTTTGTAACATGCATATGGTGTGCTCAACCTAACCCTATCGTATGCCTTTTCGAGTATTTAAATACTGCCCCTCCGTGTTGCTCAGCACACAGGATTTCATCTCATCTCAGAATTTTTGTGTGACTTTTGTGATCTTACAGACTGTGCACTAGGCCCGCATCATGGCCAAATTCGAGGTGGTATCTGCAGTTCCCACTCTTCCTCGCTACATCTCCATCCAAGGCGACAACGGCCTCTACCTGGCTCTCAAATCGGATGGTCTGGTTTCCTTTGATGCTAAAGAGACGAACAACTTGACAACTTTTGAAGTCCTGTATGACGCTGATGGTGCCTTGCTCATTCGATCTTCTGCAAACCGCCGTTTCTGGAGACGTGACGCCTCAAACTACATCCGGGCAACTACCCTAAATGTCACTGATGCTGGTCGCTTCAAGGCTTCTAAGCTGGACACTGGCAATTTGGCCTTTCAGTCGACTAAAGATGATCTGTTCCTGAACCGCTATGCGAGACGTGTGGATGGCTACAATGCCCTGGAGACAGTCCCTAACCAGTGGACCGAAGTCCGCGTTACTGATGCAAGCGACTATGCTGTTCGTCTTCCAGATTACATCTGGCTGAAAGGAAACAACGGGAAGTATGTCCATCTGCATTACGAGCGAGATCTAAATTGGCTCAAATTCCATGGAGATTCTCCTTCTGATGACTGGGGCACCAACCAAGTCATTCCATTGCTCGATGGGAGTGTTGCCCTGTACAATGTCAAGGCTGGAAAATTCTGGCGGAACAGTACCAATTGGATATGGGCAGATGTGAACAAGCAAGAGGATGCTGAAAGCAATCCGAGGTGCCATTTCGAGCCCCTCAAACTAGGCAGCGAGATAGTGGCCCTCAAGAACCAGTTCAATGGACTCTTCTGCAAGAGGCTAACTGACTATTGGCAGAGCTGCCTCAATGCTGGCACCGGTTCCCCCAATGACTCTGAAGCACGCCTTATAGTCGGTGATGCAACAGAGAAGAGGAGCATCTTCAATGTCAAGTACCTCATGAATCTGGCCACCACTAGTGACCAGAAACTCCAGCTGGTTGGTCGTGGCTCTGCGACAAACAATTCAAGCAACATGATGGACATGAACGTGGTGGTCACCCTTGAGAACAAAGTTTCAAAGAGTAGTACGTGGTCCAACTCCTTCACCTTCAGCCAAAAGGTGACCACAACCTTCAAATGTGGCGTTCCTTTCATTGGCAATGCTGAGATTGGCGTGGAGATTGGTACTGAGCAGACCTTTGGGCATGAGTGGGGTGAGACTACTGAAGAAACTGTCCAATTTCAGACTGGGTACCTTGTGAAAGATATTGGACCTGGCCAGATGGTAAGTGTTTTTTTTTTGTTTGCAAAACCCTTGGATTTTACAAATCTAGTTTTTAAGCAGGCTTCAGTGACTGTGACATGTTCAACTGCTAAGATACGGATCCCCTTCACGTATAAGTGCAAAGATACTGCCCTTGGAGGCTATGATCGAGGGACTGTGGACTACATTGATGGTGTTTACGAAGGAGTGGCGGCATATGATACTAGAGCCAAGGTTAGCAATGGAGGGATGGTAAATGAAGTCAAACTGCGTGCAGATGAAGAGGGCCGAGCATTTATTCTCTAGATGCTAAGTATGTGTGTATGTCATGAATAATTTGGTAAATTTGGTTTGCTTTGAATAATAAATATTAATAATATATTAAATAATTTTTTATTAATGTTTATTGAAATGTTATTTATATAAAAACTATCATGAAATTTTTTGCTAGCCTAAACTATAAGAATATCCTAATAATACAATATCTTTTATAAAAAGGATATTCTTTATTTAATTCATTCAATACTTTTATTGTATCTCGCCCCACCAGCTCTATTGGAACTAGGATGGGGAACAATCTCTCACCTTTGGCAATGTTCTATAGTTGCATAAGCACCAAAGAGTGGATAATCAGTTGATCAATGTCTAGAATAATAACTTATCCTAATTCATTGAGTGGATATTGAACAATATCAAAAACAACATGTGCAAAATCCCTCTAAACATATTCAAAATGGCTTGATTTTCATCAGGAACTTAATGTCAGACTAGAAGATATTTTGGTGGGTGAGAGATCATGGCCATGTTCCAGAGGAAGGTGTTCTTGCTCTGGTACACAAGCAAAGGGATGGATGAAATGGAGTTTACCATGGCCAATTTATCATTTAATTACTAACAATACCAAGAAGTGAGCACCAATGACAAGTACAAAGAAGAGGCTAAGGAAGAACTCCAAAACTAGAGTATATAGATTTATTTTTTTCTTATTATATACATGGAAGAAGTTTGTAAAGCTAGATGATAATCAAGTAATACAAAGTTGGAGAAGAAGTGATTACCTAAGCTTCCATAGCAAATTTGGTCTTGGAAATCCCTTTGTCTAGCTAACCTTATAACTCCTCATATTGCCTTTTCCAATTGAGATGATAGGGCTACTACCTATATTTAGAGAGAGGACCATAACAATTACCTGCAAACCCTAAGGCTATGCTAATTGTAACTTCATGTGAAAAGCTTTGGGATGACAAAAAGATCAAATCATCAAATTTGAGATGAATTCCAATTGTGACATACCAATGCCAATGCTTTATATGTGTGGTTGCATCATTTCACCAAGAATTCCTCTTTGTCATCCCCAAGAGGATGAACTACAACCACATAAATCAGAGTTGGACACAAAGCAACAGTGAAGCCAACAACGCCGGAACAACATGATCAGAACCTCCTTGGCAACAGAAAAATCAAAGACAATTGCCTTCCAGACCTCATTGATTTCACAGAAGACTCCCCGAACTTCCATCCTCTCGTGGAACAGTATCCAGATTCAAGGAAGCCGATGGAGCTGCAATGCTTGGAGAAATTCCAGCAGGAATTAAAATAAAAAAATTCTCACTATAAAAGTGATAGTTAGATTTCAGCAGGGCATGACAGTAGGCATCGATCGTAGTACCTTATTTTTATTTCTCTTTCCATTTTCTCATCCTTTGTCTTTTATCTACATGCAAAATTTGGCCATTCTTTCCAGCTTGCAAGGCATGGATTCTTGCCGCGTTAGAACGTCCATGGCACACATGAATCCCATTGGAAAACTCTCTCTCGCTGAAAATGCCACTAAAAAAGTAATTTTTGAATATAGCTAGTAGCTGATGCTGCTTGCTAGTGGCGATGCTAGTGGCGAAGTTGCGGCAGGTTGGAGCAGGAATCAAGGCATCAAGAACACAGGAATCTGCCACAGGAAATTAAAGGAGATGAATGAGTATATAAGACTGTATACAACAAGTAGTTTTTCCCGTTCCATCAGCAGGCTTTTGTTGGAGGCACAACCTGCACAAGCACGAGCTTGAACTTTAACCATGGTAAGGGCAGGTTGTTTACAAACAGGATGACCGCTGAACAAAGCTCTTTTAAAAACATGAGTATAACTAGATATCCTTGGAAGCCAGTTTGGATGATCCTGCAGCCCCCTCTTCCAAACTCACGCGTCCACGGAACGAGCCTCCAGTGCTGGTGAGACGAACCAATGCGGCCGCTGCTTGAGCAGCAGCCACAGCAGCCTCGGCACGAGCTTGGACTTTAGAAAGTGCTTGCATGTAGTGGACTGTAAGACCGCCGAACAAAGCATGTAGCGCTTTTCTAGCCTGAAAAGAAAAAATGTACACGCTGATCACGGCCTTGTCGCAGCAGGATCACGGACGAGACACCATCGATGTCTTCGTTCTCGGTTGAAACATGGCTAACGATCACCTGGTCCGAGCACTGGGATCACAGCTGCCATGTGGATCTCTGTGCTCGATCTGGTCAGCTGGCCGAGGCCGAGGATCTCATCTCCTAGCCCCAGTGATGGAGTCACTTGGATGGCGTTTCTCGTTGCATGTAGGCTCCAAGAGGATCCAGAACGAGCAACAGTCACTGTCCACCTCAACAGCACCGTGTGCTCTACTTTCCATGTGACGAGATGATCGACAAGACTGGACAAAGTTATAGATCGCGACGTAGCGATCAGCTGATGGAGAGAGCCCAAGAACAGCTCGAGCAGCGTAGATGGTGGTGAGATTTTGATCTTAGGTGCTGGAGCAAGCATCCCCAAGCAACGGCAAACGGCATCTTGTCGAGACGTCGCTCGTCCCGATTTTTTCAGCATGTCGATCATGCTCGTCGGAAGCATCGGTAATGGAAAGGAAGGATGTCCATCCTTGGGCGAGCAAGCTGCTAGCGCTCCATGAAACTTCGTCGGGGATCGTTCCTCGATTTGATCACTCCAAAGAGCTCAATCACGTCTCTGGATTCTCCGTGCGCGGCAAGGGCCACGAGCTTCGAGTTCCATGCTCCCACATCGAGCTCCGGCAAGCGCAGGCATTGTTCAAGATTTGCCTGTGAGCATACGCAGATAGAGCTGTGTCTAGCCATTTTTTCAGAAACGTCCCCCGATTCCTTCGAAAGCCCCATCTCCGAGCAAGCTCCCAGCAAGGCAATCCAAGCAACGATGCTTCACTGTAGCATCGTAGTGAGATATCCCTGGCGTTGTGGATTTGCCCAGTCTAGACATGCGCATTGTTCATGGCGTAAGAGACTTGCCACTGTTCTTTCGAGTGTCTTGGCTATTTGCATCGAAAAAACTTAGCGAAGAATGCCACTGTTCCTTCGAGACCCTTGCTGCAAGATCGTGTCTCGGCCATTTGCATCGAAAAAACTTAGTGGTCAGCAAAATCATGTCTTGACCCTTTGAATCGAAAAAACTCATTGGTCAAACACATCGTTGTTGACAACTTCAACGACGTCACTGGGGATCGAACCCAGAATCTCTGGTTCCGTAGACCAGCGCCTTATCCGTTGGGCCATGAGGTCGTCTTTAACATAATAATTCCGATTAACTAAGTGTCTGAACAAACGAAAGTGTTACCCAGCAACACGTAAGGCATGCTATCCCTCTCGTCCATTTCAACCAGCGACGCGAAAACAGCCCTAGCAGCCTCCACATTCTTCCACTTGCTACAAGCATCCAGCAGCATTGTCCTCAGTGTCACGTCCGCCTTCACGGGAAGCTTGTTTGCCATGGCGATTGCCTCCTCCAGGTGATTGCTCCGGCCAAGGAGATCCAGCATGCAAGTGTAGTGCTCCACACCGGGAGCAATGCCATACTCCTTGGCCATTGCCTCGAACAAGTCCCTCGCTTTCTCCACGATTCCAGCTTGCGAGCACGCAGAGAGAAGCGCCAGAAATGTGATCGCGTCTGGAACCATTCCTCGATCTTTCAGCTCCTCCCAAGTTGCAAACGCTCGGATGGTATCGCCTCCTTGGCAGTATCCCACAAGCAGTGCGTTCCATGTCACGAGCTCTTTCGAGTTTCCATCTGCCGAGGCATCAAAAAGTTGCTGCGCATCCACCATGCTTCCGCATTTCCCGTAGGCATCCACCAGCGACGTTGCCACAAACGCATCACTTTCCAGTCCTGCGCTACAAATCCTGGCGTGGAGTTCCTTCGTGACTCTCAAGCCGCCCCACGTTCCACTGGCTTTGAGAGCTGCTACGTAGCTGAGTGAGCTCGGCCTGTCGTGATCGCCGGCTTCCAGCATCCGCGAGAATGCAAGCAAGGCCAGCTCGGGCTCTCCCGTCTGAGCGTACCCGGTGATGATCGAGTTCCACGAGATCACGGTCCGGTGCTGCATTCTCGTAAAGACCCCCGCTGCGTCTTCCATGCTCCCAAACTTGGCATACATGTCCACCAGAGCGTTGCCTACGAAGTTTTCCTTCCGGTCGTAGCCTTTTGTCGCGACCCGAGCGTGGATGGCCATGCCTTTCTCCAGGCATTTCAGTTTTACGAGCTTCCCGTCCACGAGCCTGCCCTGCTCTGTCGCTTCCAGACCAGTGCAAGCGTTGATGGCAGCGACGCAAGTTCGACTGTCAGGTTCGAAGCCTTCATCAATCATGCGTGTCAGTGTCTGTAACGCTAGCTCGCACTGTCCACCCTGAGCATACGCCGTCAGCACTACGTTCCATGAGACAACGTTCCTTCGCTTCATTCCCTCAAAAACCTGGCTAGCATCCTGGACACTGCCGCAATTGGAGTACATATCCATCGAAGTGTTCGCCACAAAGATGTCAGAGTTGTAGCCATTCTGGAATGCCAGAGCGTGGATAGCCATGCCTTTCTCCAATGCCTTCATTCTTTCCTGTGCAGCCCCGTCTTCTCTAGATGCAAGGCCCGAGCAAGCCTTGAGCGCAGCAACGTAAGTTCGAGCGTCCGGGACATTGCCTTCTTCCAGCATGCGTGTGAATAGCTGCAACGCAAGCTTTTCTTCCCCGCTCTCGCCATGTCTAAGTATCACTACGTTCCACGACGTAACGTCGTGACGCTGCATCTGATCGAACACCCGGCGAGCTTCCATCAGCCTCCCACACCTGGCATACAGATCGACCAGCGTATTCGCGACGAAAATGTTGGTGTGATGTCCACCTTTAGCAGCTTCAGTGTGTAGAGCTACTGCCATCTTCAAAGAGCCCGGCTTGACAAGCTTCCCCTCCACACTAAGGCCCTCTTCCTTGTCGGCAAGGCCGCTGCAAGCCGTGAGAACAGCCACGAAAGTCAAGGCGTCTGCAACAAAGCCTGCCTCTTGCATACGCCGAAAGTATTCCACTGCCAGCTCCGGCTCTCCATTCTGAGAAAACCCCATTATGACTGCATTCCAGGACACCACTGTCCGGTTCTTCATCCTGTTAAAAACCTGCTGTGACTCCTCCATGCTTCCACACTTCGCATACATGTCCACCAACGTGTTTGCTACGAAAATGTCCTGGTCGTGACCTCTGTTTGCAGCTTGTCTGTGAATGACTCGGCCTCGTTCCAAACACTGAACCTTTTCCTGTGCCACGTCTCCGGATGCCAGACGACTGCAAGCCTTCAAGGCAGCAACGAACGTCCGAGAATCTGGCTTGAATCCCTCGTCTTGCATGCGGGAGAACAAGCTGAGAGCCAGTTCACCGTCTCCACTCTGAGCAACCCGCATGATAACCGTGTTCCACGACACTGTATTGCGCTCTTCCATCTTGTCGAAGACCTGGCATGCCTCTACTACACTGCCACATTTCGCGTACATGTCCACCAAGGTGTTTGCCACGAAGATGTTGATGCTGCCTCCGCATTCTCTGTGTAGCCTCCTGCCGGTCTTAAGGTCCTTCAGTCTGCCGCATTCCCTCAGAGCGTCAATGACGAGGGACACGCTCGCATTGTCACCATCTTCTCGTATTTTGTCGTAGATTCTGAGAGCCTCTCGACCTTCAAGCTTAGAATCGTCGCTCTGTTGGCTGAAGCGAGCATCCAAAGGTTGCAATTTGAGATTGTGGCTCAATCCATGAGAAAACATATATGCCCAGATTCACTAGCTCCTGCAACAGTGATGTCAAGGAAAAGCCTTTCAAATGCATTTGACAGTGTACCTCACACGCTCGCAACAAAGTCGAGCTAGAACAACGCTGCACCTCAATCGCGAGCGACTCATCCAGCAAAAATATTACAAATACACATCTTCGCGGCCTATATGACGAAACAAGAAGAAGAAACCTAGGTACCCACTCTTAAAAGCTACTGATGTGCGGCGATAGCGTTGAATATAGCCTCCAGCGTAGCCTGACCAACGTTGTATTCCGCAATACCAGCACTCGCTCTGCAGAATACAATCAGTCGAAGAGACTAACAAACAATTGTGTCCAGATTACCTGTGATGCTCCATGTGTCCAAAAACCCGTGCTAAGGAAGAACTCCCGTATGGCAGCTGTGTCAATGCGAGTCAGAGAAAATATATCACCTGATAGAAATTGAAGCTTACTTGATAACGGAAGTTTGATCCGTTTCGCTCTAAAAGAGAAGCTCCAGGAAATGATGCTCGAATGAACAAGTCAATTTTCATTGCCCGATCTTTTGCCAGCCACCACTCACAAAAGAGTTTGGTTTGGACGGTACCTGGAATAAACAAAGGTTAGAAATCGAAACGAGAGAAAAGTTAAGTTACTTGTGCTTGATAATTCGCGAAGCAGAAGCTCAGATAGAGCACCATCACCAACAGATGCATGCCCAGAGAGTAGTGCTTGTCCCCACTGCTCATTACCAAGGATAAATGCCGCAGCCGTAACCTCCGTTTCTGACAGAGTTGCATCTGAGTTATCCAATGCGATAATTTCTGTCTCTCGAGCATCAGAGTCCGGCAGATTTTGTAGCACAAAATGAGAAAGCTTGTCTACTTCAGATTGAGTGGTTGTGACAGCTTTGACCTGAAAACACGATCAGGCCACTGCAAACCAACATCGGAGATAGCTACCTCGAGTTCCAGGCTATTTCCAAAACGGCTTTTTAAGTGCTGTGGACTGCCAAGGCAACGCAGTCGGCCCGCAGCCTAAAAAAGGAGTGTGTTAGCTTGTGAAACACTGAAGGATCTGATAAAATACCATAATCCCAATGCGCGTACACAATGCCTGAGCTTCGGCCATACTGTGAGTAGTTAGTATAACTGCAGAAAGCCCTCTCCTTGTTGAAATACGTGTAATGACATCCCACATAAAGCGCCTTGCGACTGGATCCATGCCTGCATAATTTTTTTAAAAAAAAACTAGAACAGAAGTTTATAGATAAATTCAAACCTGTGGAAGGTTCATCCAAAATCACGATAGGAGGGTCTGCCACCATTGCAATTGCCACAGATAGCTTACGCTTGTTCCCTCCACTCAGGGAAGAAGCGGTTTTGTGGGCTTGACCCCAAAGATCAAATTCAGTCAACTTTTCTTGAACCACCTGAGAATTCACCAAGGCAAAGTAAACAGAGCCACATAGAGCAGTATAAAGCTAACCTGCTCGAGCTTATCTTCCGGAACAGCCTTGATGTTTGCATAGAGTTCAAGGTGTTCTCTAACTGTCAGCAGGTCAAGTAGTGCATCGAACTGTGGACAGTAGCCAATCTGTAAGAAGAAAAGTCAATATTTCATACTGACGGTAAAGTGATCTTACAAGTTGTCTTGTATCTGCCGGGTTGCTCCACACGTCATGGCCAACAATGTAGGCATTTCCTTCACTTGGAGGAAACTCTCCTGCAAGATATTCAGTTTTACTCTGCACAAAACCGCAGGGTAAAAGTTTACCGCATAGCATGGATAACGTAGTCGTCTTTCCAGCGCCATTCGTTCCTAAAAACCCAAAGCATTCTCCTGCATCGACCGCAAAACTCAGTGCATCTACAGCCACTTTAGGTGGTTGACGCGCTCCGCAAGGAAACGTCTATAAAGTAGAAACATTAGCAGTCAAGTGATAGAAGTTCAGCTTTTACCTTTCGTAATTCAACCAGTTTAACCACGCTGTCCTTGCTTCCTCCTGATTGAACCCGGCGCCGCTCGCGTGCCACGTCCAAATCTTCATCTTCCAAATGTTCCTCCGGTAGAAAAGGCTCGGAAAGTGTGCCAGCTCGTCCAGAGTTAGCGAACAGATTTCGCCTCCATTTTCCAAAACAGCTCTTGCACCAAGCCGTCAAAATGTAAGGTGAAGGAAGCAGCTCCATCGCAAGAACCAGGAGGAAATACAAGATACTCTGCGTAGCTTTCATTTAATTGTGAATGTCAAACTATCTATTCCATACCTCACAGCATAAATATGTGATAGATGCTCCAGTCGTGTTCCAAGCAAAAGGTTCTTTTTGAGAGCTTGGCTTTAAGCTCTGTTTCCGAAGAGCTAGTGATGCCAGCCCATCAGCTAAACAAAATCCAGGAGAAAGCCTGAAGATGTTCTGCATTGCAACACAAGGAAAGAGTTAGATTACCTGCTCGAAAGTTTTCTTGATTACCTTCAAAACTCTATTTACACCCTTTGTTGCACGAAGGACGCCCATAATGAACGATACAACCATCAAAATAAGGCCACTAAAAAAATGAATAAGCAGGATTACGTTCTACACAAGAGAGGCTGCATCAGGAAATAGTCGGAAAAATAAACAATTTCATTACTTGAGCCAACGAATGATCCGTGAAGAAAAATGTTAAACAATACGTAGAAGCTGCAATTGCAGGGCCATAAGCAACCATCATAATAGAAGTAGCCAGGATAGACTCTTTGCCAATAAACTCATCCATCCCTACAAATTGCAGTGTCACTCCGAAAGACAAGAAAAACACTTTCAAAACTTACCGAAGATAAAGAAAAGACCGACAGCAAGACCTGCTGGTAATAAATAGCTTAGCATGTCCCAGACGTATGTCGAAATCCAGTAAGCCATTAATGAGACCTTTTGAAAAAAGACGAATTAGTCAACCATTAAGCACGAAGGCATACGCACCCCACTTATGAGTTGCTGGTGTTTTGCCTTCACTTCCCGCTCCTACAGGGAAACAAAATTTTGTAACAAAAAACAAAGGAAAGAAACTGTACCTTTACTATAGCCACCGCAAAAGAAGCTGGGATGAACGAATAAGCAACATTTACAATTATACCAGCAGAGAACGCATTGATATCCTAAAAATAAAACAAAGAAATTGCGAATCATGCACGAAATGAATACTGTAGCTTACGCGTCGTTGAGCCATCTGAGACACCGTCATAGGTAACGGATGATTCCTAGTCCGTAGCTCAAGCTTAGAATTATTCGTCGCCATCTTCAGTATCGCGTTGTTAACAACGTTAATGTAGGTTGGAGCTGCATGTTGACACGTCGTATTGTGAAGCACAGCGTAAGCGAGGCTTCCATCGCTGTGCTGTCTGTCCATGACAACAGCGCCATACCTGGTATCCAAGCCAACGAAGATAAGGACGCAACAAGAAAACCAGAACTAGAGTCAACCTTGATTCATATGTCTCGTTGAAGCTCGTCATTAGATATTCGCTCATTGACACGAGGGCAGGCCCAAGTGACGGTCCAGCTGCGTCAATCGCATTTTGTAAAACAGTGTCCGAATCTGGGAACTTGTACACTCGAGGTTCTTCTTTCTGTATCCAGCCTCCAGAAACATAACGTGCTACCTGAAAACCCAAACCGTCAGCTAAGAACAGCATCTAAAAGACCCAAGTACCTTCTGTGCAATTGGCAAGGTGAGATTGAAAGGTATTGGTCCGCCGCCACCACTACCAGTGACAAGAGGATTGAAAAGTGACGTTGTTAAAGTCACTGACGGCTGGTCCGGATGTGGTTTTGTCGTCAACAGCAAGAGTCCGAGAAACAAGAACAGCGATGGCACCAGCAGTTGGAAGACAACGGTTTTCTTGTCGCGCATTGCACTAAGACCACGTTTCTTGAATAGAGCCCTGAAGTGCCTTCCAAAGAGTGACCGTCGTTTCCCCAGGTGGATAATAGGATACCGTTCGAAAACCGAGACCAGGCTTGCGAGAACTCTTGTGATTATTCCCACACAGGATGATATCCAGCTGTAGCGGCTCTTTTTCACTTCAAAACTTGCAGCACCGTCCCCACTGTCCACATCTATGCGGTCATCACTACATGATGCCTTTGCTTCCGAAGCTTCAGCGTTGCATGTTTTCTGTAGTGGACGTACTTCTTGCTGAGGAGCTTCCCCACTTGCAACCCTTAAAAACACCTCTTCTAGCGTAGTCACAGAAATGCCATAGCTTTCAACATCCCATGAATTGATACCACCGGGCTCTTCTCCGGAACCGGATAAATCAGAGAGCGTTGCGTGAGCTTCTAACTCTTCAAATAGCAAATGAAATGTCGAGGTAGAAGCAAGAGGAAGACGATATGATAGCTCCGAGCCCACCTGGAAGAAACAACGGCCGATTAACACTTTACACAATTATTTTAAAACTTCTCACATCACTTAGAAGTGTTGCCGAGGGTACGTGCCGAAGTATAGCCTCTGATATTGATTCAGTCCCGGATTGGCCCTGTCAGTCAGAAACGTTATAGACATTTTCCAAATGATATTTGTCGAGCCAAACCTTCACAAGCGTGAGGGTGTAGCCTACCCCATAACGGTGCTTGAGAAACAAAGAACTAGAACACAAAAAGGCTTGTCACAATAAGCAGCAAGTAAACCAATCAAATACCTTCCGCAACATCGCAAATTCCCACTTGACATTATAGCAATCCTGTCACCTAGTACGTCCGCCTCGTCCATGGAGTGCGTTGTTAGAAGGATAATCCGATCCTTTTTGTGACGCTTAAGGAGCCGCCAGGTCAGTCTCATTGAATAGGGATCCATTCCACTAGTCGGTTCGTCCAGAATCACCACCAAAGCTTAAAGTTCGAAACATTTGACCAAAAAGTTCGAGACTGTACCTTGCTACCTCCTAATAATGCAAGCGCAACGGAGAGCTTGCGTTTCATTCCACCGGAAAGATGACCAACTAGTGCATCAGATTTATCCAGCAAACCGATCTGTAGTCAGCATGTTACAAAGTGCATACTTAAATAGAAAAACTCAACCTCGGAAATCATTGAATCCACTTCGGTCTGTAATACAGAAGGATCAACCGATTTCAAACTTCCAAAAAGAAGCAAATGCTCCCGCACCTATCGAAGTTAACATATTACCAGGAAAGTCACAACGTTTTAAATTACCGTCAACTCCTGAAAGAGTAGGTCATTTTGTGGACATACGCCTATTTGCTTCCGAATATGCATCTGAGTAATTGAGAACATCAGACATACAAAACCGACAAACTGATCGTCTTTACCATATCAGTCTTTATGCTTTTCCCAAGTACGAACGCGTCACCAGAGGTGGGTGCAACAAGACCAACAAGCATTCCTATAGTTGTGCTCTTCCCAGCCCCGTTATGTCCTGCAGTATGGAAAAAGACGTTATCCATCCGAAAAGATACAATCTTACCAAGTAATGCGAGAATTTGCCCCTCACAAAGCGACAAGCTTAGCGAATTGACAGCTGTGCATTCTCTACCGGCAGTCACAAATACTTTCCGCAAGTTCTTGATGTGTACGCACCTGGAGGAAACATCAACATAAAAGAGTTGGAAAGGGATACATACTTATCAAATTCTTGTTGATCAAATTCGACTGGTTCAATTTCCGATTGAGGTATCATGTCTTCATTTTCCTCGTCCATTTCTTCATTATTTCTCTTACGACATAAATTCCAGAGCATGCGACACGTTAAATGTCCGCAACTATGCTTGAGAACCTGTGAGCAGCATTTATAAAAAAGAGAGAGAACACTAAGAAACTTTACCTGATTGAAGTACCAAGCCAAAACTAAATAAAGGAGAGCATCTACTGCAAGGAAAACCATACAGAGAAGAAAACTAACCCCCGATGATTCCTGCAAAAATGATACCAAGCCGCTAGCTTATTTTCATCAATGAAATGTGCAAAGCACTTACTTTCCAAATATTGCTCCAACGAACCCCAACATGTCCTCGTTCATAGTCGGCAAAGTTTACAGTTCCAAGAGCGAAGGCAGTAGGTGAAAGAAGTGACGCAATAAGTTTAATCGACCTGTATATGAAAAACAGAGCGAATAAAAGAAGAAGAAGAAGAAGAAAGAACCATACAGTGAGACATCTGTGTCCACAACAACATAGTATGGGAAAAATGCCGCAAGGAAGGAGAGTGTGCCCACAGCTGTTGCCGTCTTAGCTCGTGTGAAAAATACGGAGATAAGAAAACATAATGCGATTGCACTGAGCCCAAAGAGAAAGAAATAGACGAAGACAACGGACATGCTGCTGTATGCAAATATGCTGTTCATGGTAACAAGAACAATTATCAACGCGGAAACAGCAAACTGCAGCAAGAAATATTCGTCCAGTTAATACATAGTAAACCACCAGAAGGACAACCTGGAGCATGTAGATGATGAACCACGATACATAGAAGTTTGTACCTTCTAACCCCATCATAAGCATTCCTTCCTTTATTCCTTTTTCCTAAGTCGTCAAGTAGCTGGTTAATGTCGGTAGTATAACTATATTAGAAATTCACCTTTTCCAGTACCGAGCAGCTAATCAGTCGCGATACTGGGTAAAGAAACGCAAGAAGATACCTGTCATAAACGACGATTAGAGAAAAGAAAATAAGAAGCTGTTCTACTTACAATATTCCCAGGAAATTCTTTACGATGGATTGGAACTCGTCGTCCGTATACTCCCTTGTTGGGAAAGGCGCAACGCTGATATACTTTGGAAACACATTTTCTGTCACGAGCTTCACATTTTCATGCGACTCATTCTTCAAAACCCGTTTCCGACTTTCATAATGACAAAGTTCTGGTTGCTGCTGGGATAATAAGATCAAGTAGGAGTCGATAACTTGCTGCAGCTGCTCTGACAAAAAGCGGTAATCAGCTACAACACAGAGAGGAAGCGCAGCTTACCGTCAGAAAGCCACTGTAACCATATTCATAAGTTGACACCAAATCCACTCCCAGGATAAGATCATCCACATATGCTCCAGTAGTATCCATGATAGTTCTCACGTCGGGAAAACCTTGAAACGCCCATGAGTGATTGAGACGAATACTGTAATCGTATGTACAGGGGCCCTGCTCGAAAAACACTACTGCAGCCTTGATCTTCGGATACAGTTTCTTCCTGAAAGAACGAGATTTAGAGCTGTACAACATCATAGCGTGACAAGGTTACCCTGTGCCATAGGTTTTCGACTTGATATATGAATGCAGAGTTTCTTCGTCTTTGTAGATTTTTGCTACGGTCTGCCATGCACGACGAAAAAATTAAAAAATAAAAATAAAAACGGAGTCGAAAACCGCGAGAAAATCAAACCTGTAAAAGTGGAAACTTCAAAGAGAGAAGATCGACCATGGTGGACGTTCCTTCGCTTTCTGGCACAAAAGCTATGTGCTCGCCATTCGCCTCACAAAATTGCAGGACAGCCTCAAAACTAGGAGAGATTTTGCTCCTCCCAACCCCCACATACATCCCCTCCTTTATATACCTGAAGTTCAACACGATCGCAAAATCCAACAATGTGAGAATCTTCTGCTTACGCCGAAGGAGGATGCGTGTGAAAATCCACACGCGATCGAATCGCCATGAGCAAGAGCATGATCGTTGCGGGGAGCACGACCTGCGATTGAAACAAATCAAACGAGACCGAATGCATCGAAATAATCCTCACTCACCTCCAGCAGCGTCGCCACCGGATGACGCAGCTTGAGGAGCCAGTTCTTCCACAGCATCGATCGCAGCTGCCGCCACTGGAGCGCCATCGCTCGCCCTGGCGCATGGACACGCTCCCCAAAACCCTAGAAGAGAGGCAAACCAGTGTGAGTCACAGAGGAAGAAGCAAGTAATATTCGGATATCGGCCAGTGGAGGGAAAACGGCCCTGCTGACGTGTCCTCTTTCTTGACCCCCTCTTTCAAACTCTTTGCTTGTGCATGCTCGACACGGCAACGTAGGGTGACGAGGAGCTTGGATCGAGCTGGATCACTCTCTCCGCCGCGGCGGCGCCTCGATCGCCATCGCCGTGAGCTTTGCAAGCTCCAAGCATGGCGCTCCACGCCACTCGATCCGGCTCCACCGGCATTGCTGCCATCAGTTCCTGCGCTTCCTGGAGCTGCCCGGCGCGGCCAAGGAGATCGATCAGGCACGCGAAGTGCTCCTTGCGGATGAGACCGCTGCCAAAATCGCGGCCGAGGATGGAAGCGAGGAAGAAATCCAGGGCGGTAGAGACGAGCCCCGAGTGGCTGCAAGCCGAGAGAACGATCATCAGAGTTATGTGATTGGGATTCAAGCCATCGAGTCCCATCAAGAGGAACAGCTCCAGCGCTTGCTTTCCATGACCACTCTGTGTGTAAGCCGCGATCATCGAGTTCCAGCACGAGATGCTCTTGCAGGAGAGACCGTCAAAGATCTTCCTGGCCTCGTCGAGCTCTCCACACTTTCCATACATGTCGATCAGGGCCGTGGCCAGAGAAGGAGCTAGCAAAACACTACTGCTGCCATGATTCCTCGCGAGGAGATCATCCAAGTCGGAGTGGATCGATCGGCCAGCGTTCAATGCGACGCTCCTGGCGCAGGCCTCCAGAATCCACACGAAAGTCCTGCTGTTACTCGACTGTGGATTGCTCTGTGCTTCCAAGTCCATGGATCGGTAGAGCTCGAGAGCTTCCCGATTACAGCCCTTCTTCACGTAGCCTTCCAGAAGAGCACTCCAAGAGAGGGAGTTCTTTCGGTCCATGGATTCCACCACTGTTCTTGCTTCCTCGATCAAGCCATTGTCCGCCAAGAACACCACCATTGCGTTGGACGACACGATATCCCGGCTTGGCATTCGCTCAAAAACGGACTTGGCCATCTCAACCCGCGTTTTGATCGTGAGCTTCTGCTGCTTCATCGGCCGCACGAAAGCGCCGATCATCGCCGACCACGACACAATGTTTCTCTCGGCCATGCCATCAAAGATCCTCTTTGCGTCTTCTATCTGTGCTCCATGTTCGACATGAGATTGCAAGAGCGAGTTCCAAGCCACAACATCCCGGTCAGGCATCCTCTCCACCATCTCTTCGCCCTCGGCCAAAAATCCAGCGCGGGCATAGCCACCGATCATCACAGTCCACACCACTCGATCCATGGCGGGCATTCGATCCATCGCCGCCACCGCAAGGCTTAGAACACCATTCTCGACGTATCCTCCATGCAGCGCGTTCCACGACGAGAAGTTCCGTCCAGGCATCTCGTGAAAGATCTCTTCGGCGTGATAAATCTCTCCCTGCTGCATGGAAGCCTTGAGCATCAGATTCCATCCCAACAAGCTCCTGTGCGACATTCTCTCGAACAAAGCTCTCGCCGATTCAAAGCTCGCGGACTCCTCGTCGGCGTATCCTTGCAGGAGCGCGTTCCAGGAGACGGTGTCGCGCGCGGGCATGCTCTCGAAAACTTGGCTGGCCTCTCGCACCGAGTGGCTGCTCGCAAAGGCGCTAATCATGGTGTTGCACGAGATCACGTCCATCTCCGGCAAAGCATCGAAGAGTTTCTTGGCGTCGGCGGCTATCTGGTTGATTGCATACGCCCAGATCATCGCGTTCCACGACACAAGACTCTTTTCGGGGATCTCATCGAACAAAGCCCCGGCGATGTCAATATGCCCGCTTTGGGCATATGCTTGCAGCAATGCGATCCAAACAGCTACGCTCCATTGCGGCATCGCATCAAACAGCCTCTTAGAATCGTCGACGCTTCCGTTCTTTGAGAGACATCTGATTGTTTCAATCCACGAAATCAAGTCGCGCTCTGGACGTGAAAGAAAGAACTCTAGAATTTTAAAAAGGTGCCCAGCCTCGGCATAAGCGACTATTGCAGCGTTCCACGACGCCAAGCTATGCTGTGGCATTTTGTTCATCATCGTGACAGCATCTTCAGCGCATCCATGCTGAAGAACACCATTTACAATAGAATTCCACGAAACAACATTCCTTCCCGGCATAGAATCAAACAAACTCATTGCTTTCAACAGATGCCCAGGCTGGGCATATGCTACGATCATCGTATTCCATGCCACGGCATCGGCCACGCTCGAGAAACGCTCAAAGATCCCCTGCGCCTCGTCGGTCCGCTGCCTCTTCGCGCATGCCGCAAGCACCAGATTCACCGAAAACGCATTGGGCTGCGAGATTCGATCGAATGCCGCGCGGGCGTAGCTCACGCATCCCAGCTTTCCATACATCTCCACTACGAGATTGCCCAGGAATGTCTCACCGTCGCGGCCGCTGCGAGAGATGTGATCGTGGACGCGCTTGCCTCGGCCCAAATCTCCAGAGTCTCCACACTGGCGGATCAAGAGCGCATAGCTGCTGCTGGAGACTCGCGCGTTTTCGGTCTCTTCCAACCGATCCACAGCGTCCGCGAGCCCGCCCTCGATCGCAATCTCCACTTCCATCTTTCCTTTGTCGGCCAGACACTCGCCTGCCAGTGCTCCCCAGATTGCCCATTCTCCATCGCGGAGCTTTTGCCTCATCCATCTTATAGCATCCCCCTTCCCTCTTCTCCAAGCTTGCATATAGCGACCACATTTTGTTCTTTTAAGTGGTCATTCTTAGATTGATAGAAAGAAAAAATAATCGGCACATGCAGTATGATACAACCAAAAAAAATATAAATAAAAAAGATGAAAGAGTAAGTACCTAGTCAAGTAAATATATCTCCACTTCACATCACATCTCGGCTTTCATGAGCTTTGGACGAGCCGAGATGTAAATGTTGTCAAAGGGAGCCATTTGTTCCACGTTGATGTAATCTTTAGTCTTGAGCACCTGGTGGAAACAACACCAATTTTTAGCTTGAGGATGAAATCACCGAAGCTTTGAGGATTTGAGGATCAAATCACCAAAGTAAGAAAGAAAAGCTTACCAGGCTCTCAAAGAACATGCGAGCGGATTCTCGCCTGGTTTTTCCTTGGAGAAGTCTTTCCAAGCCGAGCTTTGGAGCCACTACGTGCCTTTCTTTCCTGGCACTCTCCATGGTTTCAAACGTGACTCGCAAATACTGGCAAACAGCCCTGGACACACATCGTCAAGTTAAAATCATGCTCACAAAGATCATGAACTATGAATGTACCGTACCTTGTTCTCACGGACCATCCACTGTTATCTTGAGCTTGATCTTGCAGATAATCCGGATCGTAATTGTCAGCATCGTCGCCAGCAGCAGCGTCTAAGAGCACATCAAAAGAACAGAGCGTCGAAACCAAGTCAAGTGCTTTTGTGAATCTTTCATCTTGATTACCTTCGTCCTTGGAGTCTACGAGAAAGTCCAGATCCTAAGAAAGAAAGAAGATTAGCATGAACTTACAAGAGGATGAGAAACCATACCTCTACAGTGTTATTGGCACCTACTTGTTGATCACTATCGATGGCGTCAATCCTTTGTGCTGGGGTGGTGTTGTCTGCTACAACCATTTCTTCCTCCATTTTGTTGTCATTCGGAGCCTCCTCGTCTTCCATTTGCTTTGGTTCTGAGCCAGCTTTGTCACCCACGGATTCATCGGCTTGAGTTTCTTGTCCATCCTCGAGGTTGACAGCGTCAAGCCCACCTTCTTCCTTTCCTTCTTCGGTTGCTTCGGACTCACGAGCCTCAGGAAGTTTTGGTGTTTGGTCCGCCTCCTCCGGCTTCTCATCACCATTTACGAGCTCGTTCGTATCACCAAGCGCGTTCAAATCCTTGGCATCGTTGACAACTGCAGGCTCCACAACTCCCTCACTTTGCTCTGGAACATCAGCTCCAGCGGGAGTTTCCAGAGTGTGTTCGTCGGCGAGAGCAGGACACGGCCGCTCCTCGGGAAGAACAACTTCAGGCTTATCAGATGGCTGGGCCTCCTCTTTGTCACAAGCGTCCCGCCTTTCCGAGTCCAAGTTCTCTTTGATCGTCGTCTCGTCGGCTTTCTCTGCACTGGCAACTGTTTCGGTCCGAGGAAAAGGGTCGGGTTGCTCTAGACCTTCTCCAAAGCGATAGCTAGCTTCCAGGTCATAGAATAGATCGTCCTCGAATGGCTCCTCCTCGAGAGTGATCGGCTCGCGACTTTCCTCTTCCTCCAGCTGATACTTGTCTTGCCTGGCGGACACTTCGGTGGTGTCGGACTCCACACTGTGTCTTGCATCACCGGCACTGTACACAGAACGATAAACCTCGCGAATGATATCGCAAGATCCTGGCAAAAAGAAAAGAAAAAAACAAAGGAAGCACTCCTCCAACTTAAGAAAAAGAGTTGTACCTGGAATGAGAGGTTCGTCGAACATTTGCTGGCCTAGTCCATCTTTCTCCGATCCCCAGACTTCATAATCGGTGCAAGGAGCTCTTTTTCGAACCCGGCGAATGCTGCTCGTGTCCGCAAGCTGCTGTCGCATGTGACTATGGAGAAAACGTCGTAAGGGACGTGGTTTACAAACAACCAAGAGAAAACAAAACTTACTCGCCATCCAAAACCATGGATTCGTCGAAGTGAACTTTTCTCTTTCTCGAGCCGGGCTTTGGACCGGGCTTGTGGCGCTTCGCAGGTGGTGTCGGTGCCACCACTAGAGAAGGTGTTCTTCTACCTATGTTTTTTCCAAGCTTAGATTCATGAGGAAAAACGAAAAGATTGAGTGTATGAGTACGCACCTAGAATCGACGCCAGTAAATCATCATCCCCGTGAGAAGGAAACTCCGGCATTCTCGTCATTGATGGCGGAGAAAGCCTCGGGGTTTCTTCGACTTCCTGAAGTTTGAGAGTATCTTCGACGAGAGGAACAGGATCATCAATCACGTCCTCTTTCTTCTGTGGTGCTGGAGTAGAATCCGACTCTGGAAGTTCCAACACATTTGGCTCCAGCAAAGGAACTTCGGGAGCCGATCGGACTTTCTCAATATCAGGCACATCCTCAAGCTGCTTCTCCACGGTAATCTCTCGGCCCTGCGCGTTGTCCTCGTCCACAGCCTTCTGAGTTTCCAAAGTCTCTTCTTTGTCTTGTTCTTTGTCTGCCTCTTGCTCTTGAGTAATATCTTTGTCACCTCGACTCTCCTCTTGCTCGCTCTCTTGCAGGACGATTCCTTCGTTCTTCTTCTCGAGCGAAGACGGTGAAACTTCTTCTCCTTCTTTTACTTCTTCAGCAGCAGCAGCAGCAGTAGCGGCAGGAGCAGCGTCTTCATTCTCGCGAGCGTCCGCCGGAGTTTCTGTAGTTTCAACCAGCGAATCACTAGCCACCACCTCTGGGACAATCTCTTCGTCGCCACCATCAGCTTTTGTTGTAGCTTCGCTTTCAGTGGTAGCTGCAAACTCATTCGTTTCTGCTGCTGATGGTGGCGGCGGTGGTACCTCTTCGACGGGCACTACGTTGATATCGAACTTGTTTGCGTCCACCGAGGGCCTGAGCTGATCATCCAGCTCCATGGCATCATCGTTTGGGAGCTCCGGGACCTCGTTGGCGGCCTCGATGTTCTCTTCGGCTTTGTCATCTTCATCCATCGGTTCCACCGAGACGGGGCTGCAAAAAGCAATAGTTCTCAAGTAAGTATTATTACGCATTCCAGTCACTGGCTACGTACTCTTCTTCGACGCTCACGCCTTTCTCCTGATCTTTTTCTTTAACGGTGAAAACATCCTGGAAACAAAAGACAAAGTTAAAGTCTCTGAGAGCCAAGAAATAAAAGAGCTCGACACAAACCTCGCCAAAATCCAAACGAGGAGCATCCCCATCTGTAAATCTTTCTGCGTACACACAAACAATTGCAAGCTCAGAATTTTTCGAAAGCTCGGAGTTTTTCAAAAGCTCAAGAGAGAAAAACAAAAAAAACTTTACCATCGAGTCCAAATTGCGAGCTAAGATACGTAGTGTCCTCGATGGTGTCTTGCAAAGTAATCTGCTCACGCGATGTAACATGGTGATCGATGGAACTGCAAAAAAAATAAAAAGGATAAGAAAACAAGAGTTTTGTACGTTCATTCAGACAAGCAAAGAAAAAAAAACAGATAACCACCTATTTGCAAGGAATAACGCTTCTCGATCCGGGAGGAGCTCCAAATCGTCGAGATCGAAAGTTTCCGGCAGCGTGATCGAATGGAAAGGAGCAGTGGCCGCCTCGGGTGGAAGATCAACAGCTCCAGAGTGAAAGGCCTGCTTGATCTTCACCAAAGCCTCGCTACAGTCGTGGAACAAGTAGTTGACCTTGCGCGAGTAGATTCTCACAACACCCAGCAGCAAGTGCCCGGACAAGCGCAGCGCGATTGGAACCTCGGGACAAAGAATGGAATCTAGAAAAAAAAAAAAAGAAAAAACTCTCTTTTCAGCAACGAAACAACATCCTAGATCGTGACTTACCCACAGACACACCGATGTTGGTCTCGGTAACTTGGTTCTTCCGGAGCTTCCGCTCCAGATGAGCAGCAATCCATATGGTACCCAGCGGTCCCTTCTTGGCTAGGATGAACTGGGAGTAGAACATCTTGTGGGTCGTGGAATTTGGCCTAGTCCAGCGCGAATTCCTCCGCTCCAAGCTCCATCTCGCTCATCTAGCTCATCTAGCTCACAGCCTCCAAGCTCGTTCTACCCAAGTTCTCAAGGAGTTCTCACCTCTTTGGCCGGATGGAAGAAACCCTCTCGAGACTCGAGAGGAAAAAGAGGAGCCAAAACTCTCTCTTTCTCTCTCGCTCATGGGAATGCGGCCCCTGCGAGTTCGAATTTTGGCCGCCCAAAAACAAATAAACTCCCTCCTCGTTGTGCCCTGTCACTCTCTCTCTCTCCCTCGCTTCTCTCTCTCTCTCTCTCTCCAGCGCACTCTTCTAAAAAACCACAGTGTGATGGTAGAGAGTACCTATAGCACCAGTCCACTACTGTACCCAATGCCCATCCAACCCGGGGCTGCCACGTGCGCGCCACGTCACCGGGTAAAGGGGGCCTGCCTTGCCTTCAACGTCTGTCTGGTCGTGGTTGGAATCTCCGAGTGACGAGGAAGAATTTCCAGGGGTAATAAACTTGTGTTTTTATCATTTCCCTTGGATCTTGGGTGAAGTGGGTGAATTGGGTGAATCGGGTGAATCTCCTCCTCCTTTTTCTTCTTCTTGTTCTTCTTCTTCTTCTTCTTTTCTAGCGACGCTAGCACAAATGGCTTCCATGCTCTCGATCAGTGACTCCAGTTCTTGCTTGTCCAGCTCGGCCACAAGAGGGGATTTGTCTGCCAAGGCCATCTCGACGCGCAAGATGCCCTGTTTGATGCTGCCCACGGCGCTGCTGCTCACCATCCACTGCATTGCAAATGATGAGAACAACTAGAAGCACGCTCTCTCTCACCTTGAGCTTCCAATCGAAGTCCACTAGAGAATCCATTTTATAAACTAGCCCTAAACCCTTCTTTTTTTGAGAAACCCAGCAAAAACTCTACTAAATCTATAATTCCCCTTTAAAGGGTCACAGATTTTCCTTTTCACCACTACTATATATATGCAGATCACTCACACCTAAATCACCAGCATGGAGGTTGTAAGGATTATTGATCCGATTAAGGAGAAGCTACGGACAATTCATTTGGAGCAGCAGAGGAGGGCTAAGCATGACAGGTACATGGAGGAGGTATCTGAGGATCACGACTACTGCTGGGGGGAGATCCCAGAGCCTGAAAGGGTCAGGATTCCATACCTTCCTCTAATAAATTTCAGGGAGCCTACCAAATCCAAAGCAAGCCAGGTAAAATCGCACAAGGATGCAAATCCATTTGAGACTTTGGATGGTCTTGAAGAAGATATCGATGATGTTGGCAACAAAGATCCAAAGGAAAAAAAGAGGAGGAAAAGGCACCCAAGAAAGAAGAATAAAGGTCAACCAATTCCACCAGTCAATCAATCAATCATCCATGAGCCAGTCAAGACCATACATTGGGGAAGGATCGTTCAAGGGATCCTTTTGATGATCTTTTTGTACGCTGTCCTTTTCTTTTGCTGAAAGTTCCAATCTTGTAACTTATGAAAAATTCATCTTGAATCTATATGTCGAAGAGATATTGCCCCGTTTCTAATGTTTTGCTTGTGCCTTCTGTTGTAAAAGTTTAGTTTTTAGATTATATTCATGTTCTTATTCTCTTCCCAGGATGGCTGCTTTCTTCGGCAACAATGTCACCGTCTTCATGCAACCCCCCTTTTTCTCTCTTCTTCTTCTCCATTATCTGAGTTATCTTGTGTAGCTCGTTGTTGAGCTTCTGATCCTTGTTTTGCTTCCGCGTCTTCCTCCCATCTTGCATCTTGACACCAAACTGATAAGCGGCTTTTGGAGTGGCTTCTTTCTGGTCGTTGTATTTTCCCCACTCTTCCTCTGTCTCAAAGTCCCAGCGATGCAATCGCCCTTTAGCCTGGCGAAGAACACAGTTAAAAGTAAACAAGACGAAGAAAATCTGCGTACCCTGCCACCGACGTCCATTTTCGTGAGGTCCGCGTCTTCATCGCTGTCAACTATCTCTCTGTTGTATTCCTGGTAGCCTGGGTAACACTCCGAGTAGCTCTCTGACACAAAGTTTGGATCTTTCTCGCGAGAATCAAGCTCCCTTCGCTGACGGAGCCTTTGATCGTCGCGCTTGAACACCGAACTCATGCCTCTGTCCTTCTCTTCCTGCGTCATGCACAGAGGATCCTTTGGTGCAACAGGAGCAATGGCTGCTGCTGGAACGCTTGCATTTCCCTCCACGCTAAGCTGATTGGCGTAGTATTCATAAGAAGGATCGTCTGGAGGAGGAGGAAGGTAATCTTGCCACTCACTACCGAACTGAGGCATCGCAGGACCTTGCATTGGAGCCTGATTCAAAAATTGGAAGGTAAACAAAAAACAGTCAGTTGTCTTCCAAGACTTATAGCTAGAAGGCTTGCCTGTTCCCAGTCTTCATGTGATCTTTGCTCCTCATGAAAGTATGAAGCGCCACCATTTCCATCCCGTCGTGGAGACTCCTCCATGTCCTCGGATCGAGGGCTGCCGTCTATAGTTACTACGTAGTCTGTGCCAGCGTCTGCAAATATGTCGTCTTCAGCCACTCGAGGCTTTGGTGCTTCCTCTTCGACGGCGGCATCGTCTGTGTCTGAAGGCCTGTCCTTTACTACTTCATCATCATGCGTCTCTGGTTGTTTGACGTCAATCGGTGCTACCAGTGCCGCCGCTTCTTTTGCAGTGCCTGGTGAACGTCAAACAAGTCGGTCGAAACTCTTTAAAAGAGCGAATCATACAACGTACCTTTTGTGTCGGACTTATCTCTCCTCTTTTTCTTAGAGGTCTGGAGTACAAATGTTAGAGATAGTCTAAGAAAATCAAGCACAAACTCTCTCACCTTACCGGAAGCTCCCAGCTTCAAATAAGCCATGATTTTGGCTATCCTGTCTAAAACAGCCACATCAACTCCCACAGTCACAAACTCCTGCATGAAAACCAGCACTGTAAATACAACTGCGGCTTATTTTTTTGCTTACCTCGGGTGTAGGACAGTCATCTTTGCTTCGGTACACGGTGGTAGGGATATGGTGTGACATTTCTTCCTGTAGTCTCAAAAAAATTTAGAAATTACCAGACAAACTTAAAAGCCTACCATGTCGAACGCGTAGGCCATCCGACCCGGAAGAAACATGTCGCTTGTTTTGCTCAACGTTGGAGGCTTGACCAACCATTTGTATATCACCTGCGAGAACACTTTAGATTCAAAACTAAACACAACGCACAAACCTCTCACCCTGGCAACTGGAGTATTGAACTTGATTGGTTCGTCCTCGCTCTTGCTGACCCTGAAAATAAAAAACATGCGCTCTCAGAAAACACAAGAAAAGAGTAGGTTTTGCACCTTATTTCTTCCTCAGGCTCCTCCAACTCTTCGGGTTTCTTATCAATCTCACTCCGGACTTTGTTTAGGAGGGCGTAGTCTAGCCCCTTTACCAGGTGCGTGTGCTCGACATCACCTGTGTTACTAGAGCCAATTCATAAATCTATGAAATGGTAAGCTTACCTCCAAGGTACTTGCTGTTGGCTATGGATATCTTCTTTTGTATTTCAGCTGCCCTGCAGGGAGAATAGAAAAACACCACCATAAACGATTTTCCACGTGAGAAAGAATTACTTCACTGTAAGTCGACAGCTCCCGGAGGAGCTACAGCGTGTAAGGTGCTGATTCCAGACGCTGCAGCCATAAGTTCGTAGTCTGGATTTTGATCCTCGCGCCGCTCTTTAGCACGATCGCGATATTTTGGCAAATCATCCTCTTCGTCGACTTTGGTCGGTTTCTTCTCCTCTCTAAGACAATGAACTCGCATAAGCAAAGAGAACAAAAGAAAAAGAACAAAAGAAACGCTCACTCTTTGGGCTTGGGCGGTCGAAACTTTCGGGCAGGACGCTTTGCGCTCTCATCGGCATTCTTCCTGGACGAAATTTCACTTGAGACTATTCACCAGTGTAATGTAGCCTATACACTTACTTCTTAGGGCGTTGATCCTTGGAGCTCTCATCCGGTGGAGCTCGCCGCGGCGTCTCCATGACCATCCGCCGGAAATCCGCATTGGAGAGATTCTCTTGGCGCGACGATGATCCGCCATCGTTCCGGCGCCGCGGAGGAGGAGGCAGCGGATTGGAAGTGGGCGTCTCCACAACCATGGCGAAAACAAAAGAAATAGGGTTCTTCGTCTACCATGTTGAATTAATTAATACTAAAGAGGGTTAATTAACAACGACGCTCTCTTTGTCGACAAAACCATCTTGTTCCTCCTCCACGCTGCTCGAGAGCCTGTACGTTCCTTCGTTATCCTTGCGAAAGGCCAGATACGCGGCTAGCAGCGCATAAGCGAGCAATGCCAAGAAACCAGCAATCCCCAGAAGAGCAATGTGTAGTCTCCGCAGTCTAGATCTTTGCAGCCACTTGATAAAATTGCTGGCCAGGTAGAACAAATTCACCAGAATGATGCTCGATCCGATCACCCAAGTCAATATTGTCACCTGTAGCGGCATTGTCAAGTTTCCACACAAACTCGAGACTAGAAAATCGTAAAAGTACCTTTCTGTGGTTGACATGCGGACCCATCTTTCCTGGATTGCTTGTGAACTTGAGCAGTGGTATGAGTGCAAACGGTAGCTCGAAAGAAAGAATCATCTGCAGCAACCAAAGCTTTGTCAAGCCACGAAAAGTTATGCAAACTTTCGATGATGGTTACCGAGGATATTATGATAAGCTGTCCGGCACCAGATGATCCGCCGAGTAGAGCCACAACTAGACTTGGAACAATTGCAACGCATCTTGTCAACAAGTTCCTAATCCACTGCTCAAACCGGAGCTCCAAAAATCCCTGAAAGAGCACAATTATTCGAGGGAATCACACCAGGCAGCAAAAAACCAACCTGCATGACATACTGCCCAGCAAATGTCCCAGTAATTGTCGAGCTTTGGCCTGACGCAAGCAAAGCGATTCCGAACAAAACCCCGCTCCAGCTCCCAAGGACATGCTAAGAAGTTCCTAGGTGAGAACACAGCAATTGTATACGTATGGTTGTCTCACCTTTAAAAGGAAAGAAGCACGATTCAAGTCTAAGTTACTGCATCGATCCGCATCATCTACTGAGAGTTGAGAGTCGCTACAAACCGCTCCACTGACAGCTACAACTGCCAGATTGATGGCAAAAGACACGAGCAATGCGAAACAGCATTCGATTAAATTGTACCTGCACCCATCCTGATACCACCACCGAGACACCACATGAATTCACACTGAATACAAAGACATATAGAACTTTACCCGGATTCCTTCCATTGTCTGAGGAGTCGATCTTGTGAGCACGAGAGCTGAATGCAAAAACAAGTTATGCCTGCAGACAAAAAGAGTCAGAACTTATCCACAACGTAAACAAAGCAGTATACTTACGGCATAACCATGGCACCAAAGAGGGAGATGGCTATCCCTGCTGCTCCATTTCCACTTAATCTAGGAATAAACAGTCCCTTCATCAACTCCACAGGAGAGGGACGCGCATTGAACATCTCCACGAAGAAACAGCTAGCTATCGTAAACACCAAAATCGATATGAAGATCTCGAGCTTGCGAATCTGAGGAGAGAACAGCAGAGCTGAGCTTTATCCAAGTACAATAGCCTGAAGAAAAAACGAGAAGCGTACCCCGTATTGCTGCAAAGCAAGAAAAAGAAGCGTGCTCAATCCGGTAAGTACGACTCCAATCCATAATTGAAGGCCAAAGAGCATGTTGAGAGCATACGCCGTCCCAATCACTGGCATCAAACAGAAAAACGTTAAGATCAAGCAGCTACAAGATAAAAGTTTTAACACCTTCGGGAATATCACTGGCGACAATAGCAATCTCAGCTAAAAACCACAGCACTAGATTCACCTTGGGTGGATACTCCAAGCGACAATGCTGTGCCAGATGCTTCTCTGCACATCCAAAAACGGTGTGTTAGTCCTTGCAAGGACTCCTCGCCTCAAGAGAAAATTAAATACCAAGCTAACCAGTTACAACTCCCAGATTGGCAGCAAGAGACTGTATCAATGCACCGGAGACGGTCGCAAGAAGAAGAACCCACAGCAGCTGTGAGAACAAACATTGTGAGAATTTTTACTGGAAGAGCAGGAGAAGTTCCTGAATCTCACCTCATACTTGAACTGTGCTCCAGCTTGGAGATCGCTCTCGACTAGAACAAACAAAGACAAACACAGAGAATTTTAGAAATGAAAATCATATCACAAAGAAAGATCAAACAGCCTGTAGCTCACGCTCTCGATTCAAAGAGCTCTCGTTAAGACTTACAATTCCCGGGATCCATGTATGCAATCGCGACGAGGAAGCCAGGGCCGACATAAGCCATGAGCTTCTTCCATCCTCGCGCCTTTGGACACGAATCAGCAGCTAGAAGAGAAGCATCGAGAGAGGTCGCTCACCTGTGGCACGGACACCTGATTCACAGCCAAATCGTCCTTGCTGCCGTCGCTCAGCGGCGAAATCTTCTGGTATTTGCCGATTCCTCGCGCGGCGCCATCGCTCTTCTCCGTCTCTAAGCTATTCATCTAGGCTATGACTTTAGGGCACCGGGGAGAGGGAATGGACAAGGAGGCTCTCAGGCAGCGCCTCGAGCAGGCAATCCAGGGCGTGGCAGTGGGGCAAGATTCATCGCCAGATCGCCTCCAGACGCTCCAGGATCTGGTGTCGCAGGGATCTGGATCGAGCGCCGGCTGCTCCAAGTGCTCCGCGCGAATATTTCCTCGCGCGCGCATCTGCTTCGTGTGTGGATCTCAGATCCCGGGCCGCCAGCAGCAGGAGCACAAGCGGCAGCCATTCGAATTCGAGAAATCGGTTGCTTTCGCGCGATTCTTGCAATCTTTGAGCTCGGATCCCTCGGTATGTTAATTCCAGTGCCAGCATTCTTGCATCTACTAGTTGGAAGGGAAAGAGAAGAAGCTACACGTACGTAGCTCGTGTGAGATCACTTTTTTTTTCTCGCGTCGACAACAGGAGAGATCTTTCTATCGTCGTGTGTGAGCATTTGGAATCCTTTCTGAGATCGAACTGAGGTGGTCGTGGCTTTTGGCGACAGATCGAACACCCTTCATCTTTTTCTACACCTGGACAAAGTGCTGAGATTCTCCGTGAGCCAGTTTTGGATGGAGAACACGAATCTTTGGGCTCGTTTGCAAGCTCCAAAAGGTATCGATATCGTGTTTTGTTCTAGTGCTCTTACTGATAAGCAAAACTTTCTGGAACCAGTGCTAGCAATGGGCCAGCAGCCGAGGATCCAGTGAACGATCTCTTGTCACAAATGGGCGATTTGTCATTCATGCTAGCCGATCGTCTCGTAGTTCCGGTTGGAGGTAGCGGAGCGTAGCAAGAGAGAGGAAAAAAAAAACGATCCTGGCTTTCATAATCGCGGTCGCTTCCTCGAGCTACTACTTTCAGCTTGAAGATGCATCGAAGTGACTGCGTCCGTGAGCTTTGCCGTTGACAGTGGCGACTCGCAAAGCTTCTCAAAGAACTCATATCGGGCAATCTTCCAGCCGCGTGCAACCAGGCCGCTAACATCGCACACGCCAACCTTGTCGTGGTGACCGGAGCATTCGAAGGCTTGCACCAGGGATTCTAGGGACTCCTTCCTCCGGAAAACCACAAACGCGGAGCTCTCATCGATGCGCACGACTTCTACATGCGGTGGTGATTTAGCGGTAAAGCAGGCTTTCACGTCAGCTTCCAAGCTTCGACTGTCAACTTCCAAGCTTCGAGTGGAACCGGAGCCCCACATCAGTGCCACACTCTTGGCCTTCTCACGCTCGATGGATCGAGAAGACTTGAGTGACCTGGGACCAGTTGCTTCCTGGCCAGTCGAAAGATCGAGGACAAAGTGCCCTCGCCAACCAAGGTACAAGTGATTTGCGTGGCTCCCAAGGCCTGATCTTTCTTCCTCGCCCTCTTTTGCTTGCTCGCAGAGTGAAGGCAAGTTCGCGGGATCCATCTTCATAAACTGGCAGATGTTGGCAAAGACTGCCGCCGTCATGTAAGCATCATAGCCGGCCTCGTGCTTCATCTCTGTCCCATCGTACCTGCAAAGGCTGGAGCTTCCAAACTCGATCTGGACTTTGTTTGGCAGCTTTCCCACGTTTGAGAACACCGGGCCTAAGGTTGTGCCGCCTTTCCCAAGCATTTCTTGAGCCGCCGAGTCCGCTTTCAGCAAGTACTTGGTGTCGAAGATGCAAGGGAAATGCTGGTGGATGGACGAGCAGAATTCGGAGCAGCTCAAAGGAAGAGTTGCGAAGAATTTGTTGTAAATATGAGCAATATCTGGAGAACAGTGTTGTAAGTTTTGGCCAAGAAATGATTGAAAGGTTGGTTACCAAGAAAGCAATTGTGTCCGACCACTGGCTTCTTCGACTCCACTAGAGCATCAATAAGTTGACGAAATCCTATTGCATCCATGATCTGGTTTTCCAATCTCGACCTTCTATCCTTTTCCCATTGACCCTGCAAGGAAGAGAACGCTCAAAACACGACCCGAGTGAAGAAGAAAAAGAATCTGCAGTTCACTCACCACTAAGAGCGCCCTCTCCTTCACAGATCGAGGAAACAGAATTTTCACTTTCTTTGCACCATCCTCCGTAAAAGGAACGAGATCTTGGAAGCTCTTTCGCAAAACCTGACGAAGAAATGGATAGTGACTGTAGAAAACGTGAAAACAAGCACGAAACTTACCTGGTGAACGAGGTTGGCTTCATGGTTACCAGCAACTTCCACAACGAGGCACAGCCGCTCCTCAGGTTCGTGAGCATCCTTTTCTCTTTGCAGCACTTTGTCACGCCATTCCCCGGCTTGGACTCGCACGCTCTCGCTAAAGATAACGTCCGCTGTTCTATTGAGTGGAATCTCCAGTGCCGAGAAGCTCTCAAGCTCGCGTGGTGCTCCATCCGCATCCGTCAACTTCAGTTTATGTCTAGCGAGTTTCTCCTGCTCGTGAGATAGATAAGAAATTCCTGGATCGCAGAGTTATCAGCTATGGAAGAAGAGAAAAAGAAAAAGCTCACCGTCGTAAATGCAGGCATTGAAATCAAACTGGTGCTTCGCAAGAAACTCGAGTGAAGTCGCCTGGCACAAGAAATCTCTCGCGGGCATCTCGATTTGGAGCTCGTGACGCGGGAACAAACAAAAGTTATAGCTGCATTGGAAGAAAAAGTAGAAATTCACCTCAAAGATCACACTAAAACTCACGGATAGGCGATGAATTTCCCACCGGCAGCATCCCACAAGACCGGGCAGAGGCCAAACTGGATCATCGCAAATTTCTCGGCCGAGTCGCGAAGATTGAGGTAGCGAGTGTGGAGATTGTCCACCTCTGTGGCGCCGCGCCATGGCGTCGTCTGGACGCCGGTCAGCTCCAGATCCACAGCCACAAATGCCGCCTGGCGGATGTGAGCCCTAGCCTCGACTAGCGCCTCCTCCCAATTGCTCCGCGTCACGAACGCCATGGATGGATCTCACGGCTGCCCTAGAAATAGATCCCATTCCAAAATGATTTAAAATTTAAAACCTTTTAAACCCTAAACCCTAGACCCTAGCATTTGTATAAATTGGAGAGCAATACGTAAGGGGCAGAGAGTTCCCTGTTTGATTCACAGGCAGCCATTGCAACTCTGCTATCCTTGTGAGCGCTCGTCGTCGAATTTCCAAGCAAGCACTTCCAATCGACAGAATCCGGCTCATACGGCATTGTTTTGATGAGCTCTCTCGCGTTTTCCAAATGCCCAGCTCGGCCCAGGAGATCAACCATGCAGCAGTAGTGGAGCTTCGAGGGAGAAAGCCCAAAATCTCTCGTCATTGACACAAAGCAGCTCCACCCAGCACGAAGATCGCCCACTCGCGCTGGACCCAATAGAACACAGAGGAGTGAAGTTTCGTCGGGATCAATACCCTCGACGAGGAGCTCCCCGAAAAGCTCCATTGCTACGTCAAAATGCCCGCTTTGGGCATGCCCAGCAAGCATCGCATTCCAGGAAGCAAGCCATCTTTCTGGAATCAACAAAAACATTCCTCGGGCATCGGTAAGATGCCCCTTTTGAGCGTAAAAAGCCAACATACTTGTCCAAGAGACGGTGTTTCTCTCCCTCATCGAATCAAAAATCCCCCGAGCCTCAGCCAAATGCCCGTTTCTGGCATATGCAGCAAGCATGGCATGCCACGAGATGAGATTGTGCTCTGGCATATTCTCAAGAGTGTTTCTGGCATCAACCGGATTCTCTGAGATGGATGCGTAGGCGCAAAGAATTGCGTTCCAAGAGACAGAGTTACGCTCCTTCATGGAATCAAACAGAGATTTTGATTCCTCTAGATGCCCCGCCTGGGCATATGCCGAGAGCATCGAGTTCCAGGACACAACATCCCACTCGGGCATGGACTGAAAGGTGGCGCTGGCCTCGCGCAGAGATCCGGTATGAGAAAACGCGCTGATCATCGCGGTCCACGACACGAGATCTCTCTCCGGCATGCGATCGAAGGTGTTCTTGGCGTCCTCGATTCGCCCTCTTTGCGTGTATGCCGAGAGCATGCTGGTGAGCGAGATGAGATCCAGCTCCGGCATGGAATTGAAGATCCCCTCGGCCTCCTCTAGTTGATCGTGCTGGGTGTAGGCATCCAGCAGCGAATTCCACGACACCATGTTCTTCTCGGCCATCTGATCGAACAGGGCCTGCGCCTGGGGAAGATCTCCGCCCCTGGCAAGCGCCGAGAGCATCGCATTCCACGCGACGAGATCCCACCGCGGCATTCTCTGAAAGACGTCGATCGCCCCGCCCAGATTCCAGCTGTGGGTGTAGGCCGATAGCATCGCGGTCCAGGAGACGAGATCTCTCTCCGGCATCGCATCGAACACGCGCCTGGCCTCTTCCACATCCCCATTCTGGGCATACGCAGACAGCAGCAGCATCCACGAGAAGCTGTTCTTGGAAGCGATCCGATCGAAAACCTGGCGGGCAGCCGCCGCGCTCCCGCATCGCCCATACATCTGGACGACGAGATTCGAGAGGAAAACCGACGAATCAAGCGGGGAATGCGTGGCGCCGGCGATCCTCGCGTGGAGAGCTTTCGCCCTAGCGAGAGTCTTGCAAGCTCTCACAAGAGTAACCCAGTCGTCCTCCATTCAACCACAAGGTTTTTGAATTTCCCGCCAATTCCATAGGGTTCTTTTAGTTAGGGCTCTAAGCTCGGAGGAGGAGCGCTTCTCAGGTATGGATTGGCGTCGTCCTCAGCATTTCCACAATTTGCTGCATTGTGGGTCTGTCCGCTGGATTGCCCTTTGTGCACAGCAGCGCAATCTGGAAAACCCTCTCCATCTCCTTTTTCTCGATCCGGGAGGCTTCCCTCCACATCTCTGGATCTGCCACGCTTTCCAAGCCTGTGGATGATCCTCTCGTCTCGTTTCTTACCCACACCGTCATGTTTCCATCGGTCTCTGAGAAGAGTGGATCGAGCGGTGTCTTTCGTAGCAGCAGCTCGAGAAGTATCACTCCAAAGCTGTATATGTCGCTTTTCTCGTTCACTTTGAGCGTGAAAGCATACTCTGCAAAGAGAGAGAGAGAGAGAGAAATGTGAGTTTGAGAGCTTCTTTCTTCGTTTCTTTTTGTTTTCTACCTGGAGCAATGTATCCATACGAGCCTGCGATGTAGGACATGGACTTCGTCTCCGCTTCTTTCTCGATGAGCTTGGCCAAGCCAAAGTCTGCAATTTTTGGAACCATGTCTTTGTCCAAGAGAATGTTGTTGGCTTTTATGTCCCTGTGAATTATCTTTGGCACGCAGTCGTGGTGCAAGTATGAGAGGCCGTGAGCAATGCCTAGAGCAATCTCGTAACGAAGTTGCCACGAGATCTTCTCGTTTGAGCAGCGGCCGTGTAGCAGGCTCCCCAAGCTTCCGTTTGTCATGAAGTTGGAAACGAGAAGTGCTGATCCTCCGTGTCTGTAGTGGCCTAAAACTTTGAGGATGTTTCGGTGCCTGACTTTACCAGCGGTTTCCCACTCATGCATCAAGCTGTCCTCGGCTGCGATAGTGAGCTTCTTGATAGCAAGAACTTTTCCCGACTCCATTTCTGCTCGGTAAACAGTTCCATAGCCACCCTGTCCTATGATGAACTCTTGATTCAATCCGTTTGTCACTTGCATGATCTTTTCCAGCAAGAGAGTCCTGCCTCTGTCGTCGGTTCCTCGCCTTTTGTTTCTACGTCTCCAGATCCAGCATGCAACGATGCTTGCTAGAGCAACGCATATAAATACTACCCCGCATGCTATGGCTGCTTTACCGGTTGTAGAAAGCTTGTTCTTATGTTTACAGTTTATTGCGCAGGCGAGCTCGGTGGTGTTACGATTTCTGAGGCCTAGGAAGGAAGAACTGTTGAATTTGCTTGAGGCCGACGGGATTGGTGCAAGTAAGTGGTTATTATATGACACGTTGAGGTGCTCCAAGCTTGTTAGCCGTTCAAGCTGGGAAGGAATGTTGCCTTCCAGATTGTTTGCAGACAGATCCAAGTCTTCCAGCATTCTCAAGTTCTCGAGCCGAGCCGGTATTGTACCCGACAGTCTGTTGCTACTCAGGTCGAGCCGTCTGAGTGAATGTAAGCCTCCAAGATCACCGGGAATACTGCCTGTAAACTTGTTGTTGTTCAGGACAAGAGCGAGAAGCTTGCTGAAAGTTCCTATAAATCGCGGGATGGTTCCTTCCAGCTGATTTCCATCGAGAAAGAGTTTCTCCAGTCTTTGCAGTATTTGCATGTCTGGAGGAATTTCTCCGTGAAGGGAGTTGTGACTAAGATCCAGCGTGAAGATATCCGATCCACCGAAGTGTCGAGGAATGAGTCCAGTGAGCCTGTTGTGCGACAAGTTCAGCTGGCGGAGCTGCTCAAACCCGCTGATAAGGTCGCCAGAAATGCGATTGCATGCGAGGAAAAGCGTCGTCAGATTTTTGCAGTCATTCAGCGAAGCTGGAAGAGAACCATTGAGCCGGTTGTTGGAGAGATCCAGGTAATTCAACACTTGATTCTGGCCGACCTCTTCCGGGACTTGACCCGTGAGCATGTTGTTTTGCAGCAACAGCCGTTCTAGCTTTGGACATGTCAAGAGCTTTGGTGGGATTTCGCCTTGGAGATTATTGTCGTGCAAGTATACTCTCTCCAGAAAGCCATTGACGCACAGATCCTCGGGAATAGTCCCTGTGAACCGGTTGCTGGACAGGTATAAAACTAGTAAGTTGCTGTGTCTTCCAAGTTTTACTGGAAGGTCCCCACTGAGCTGATTGTCATTCAACCATAGGTTCTGGAGCCGGGGCAGCGTTGCCACGCTTGGATGTACATTGCCTGCTAAGTTGTTAAACGACAGCGCCAGGTCCGTGAGATTCGTGCAGTTTGTAAAATCCGGGATGCCTCCACTGAGATTATTCATGGCTACGCCAAGTTTTTCCAGTCGTCTAAGCTGTCCAAGCTCAACTGGCACATTTCCTTCGAGGTAATTTCCAGAAACATCCAGCTCTTTCAACCTTCGACAGCTTCCCAAGCTACGAGGTATGCTCCCGCTCAAGTTGTTCCTTGACAGGTATAGATATTCCAGGTTCTCGAGCATTTCCATGTGCCTGGGAATTTCACCAGACAGCTGATTGCTGGAAAGGCTTAGCATCGTCAGCTCGGTGAGTTTCAAGAGCTCCACAGGTATGTGTCCACTCAAGCCATTCTGGGAGAGATCCAAGCGTTGCAGGAATTTCAGGTGGCCCAGCGAAGGAGATATCTGACCCGTCAAGAACTTGTTGTATAGCAAGACCGCTGTCACTGTGACGCCATCGTCGCGACACAACACGCCTTCCCAGGACGAGCATGGCGATTCTAACTTCCAGCTTGTAAGCGACGCATTTGAGTCTACCAGCTGCTGACTAAAACTATGCAGGATCTGGAGATCGCTAGAGCGGACGCAACATACCGAAGCAATGGATCCGAGAGCCAAGAACACCCGAAGAAAGATCGTGGCGCTCATCGCATTCGTCTCACCCAAACTAAACTCCACTCCCCTTAGGTAATGGATCAATTCCCTGACAGCCATTGTCTGCTCACACGCAAGCGTGTTGACTTCAAACGCAGAGATCTCTTTGCGAACCCCATGCAATCACTGGATGGATGGACACTGACGGGCAGCGTGGTTTTGATATCGTTTTCAAAGCTTTGTTTTATACATCGTGGAGAACATGTGGTGAGATTTTAGAAAAGAATCTTGGGTGTTGGACTTTTGACTTTCAAAGAGTGATCTTCCGTGATACACCTTTGACTCTGCGCACATTTTCCGAAAGAAAAAGAACCACATACCAGGAGTCTCGTTCATACACGTAGCTAGTGACGTTGGCGCTCTCAAAATCAAGGTATCTTCACGAGCCATAGGAGCAATTGTTCTGGAGGATTAGGCCTGTTGCTTGCAAAGCTGATGCTGCTTGCGGTGTTGCTCACTAGTGATGGCTATGGCTTGATCGTTGGGGAAGAGAGTTCCATACAGACAAGCGCACGCAAGGGTTGTAACGAAGATGGACACGACAACGAGCACAGAAGCCAGCGACAAAGCAACAACCAGGAAGCGAGTCAAGGTGCACGTCACCGCTGAATAGTAGTGGATGGTGGCAATGGCAGCCGCTCCAAGGGGGAAAGTATAAGCCCACCAAGAAATCGAGAACCTTGCAGACATCGGATGAGCTAGAGCTCGAAACCAAACAAAGTTACTCACCTGAAACCACGAAAAAGATTCACCCGGACAACCTGGTGGTTGAAGAACACAGTTTAGAGGCAAGATCATCCATGAGAATCGAGAAAGCAGTCTGTTACCAGGGACAGGAGAAGGAAGAGCGAGACGAAGTAAACAATCCTGGAAACGTAGCCAAAGCTGCCGGTGATATCCTCCCACGCGACGCTGGCGGTGCTGGGCGCGGCCACAAAGAGGAAGAACACTGGATGGAGGTCTTTTGGGAGCCTCTTGTTCGTAGGAAGCCTCTGGTAGAGAGTGACAAAGAGCACCATATAGTGCGCGAGACCAACAGCCCAGAAGAACATAGCGGGCTCTTTCCACCCGACTCTGGCACCAAGAACAGCCCCGACGAAGTTCCCAACGATGGAAAGATGGGTGCTCGGGTTGGCCACCTTGGACAAGCGCCTGTCACCCCCCGACAGCCACTGCCCATAGATCTTGAGCTCCAGAAGAAACAATGGCGCCATCAACAAACACCATACCGAAGGGTGAAGCGAGAGCCCGACGGCGTCGGGGAGGCCGATGGCCAGAAACATGCCGCCGATGCACGGCGCGAAGAAGTAGTTGATCCTCACGGGGTGGAAAAACTCCCGCCGCACTGCCTCAAAGTAGAGGAAGCATTTCAGGAGGTACGTCAAAGATATGGCAACAAAGGCAAGCAGCGTTGCACACCAGAGGACGAGATTGACCTGTTTCGGGATGTGTACAAACTCCTCCATGGCGGGCGTGGACGAGAGGGACTTCCACAAGATTCCCTGGCTGCCAAGTCCCAAAACAATGCCAAAGCTGTTCACTGGGAATCTGAGCAAGAAAGGCCACACCTTGTCCATTGGAAGTAGCAGCAGGTCTTGTTCACTCTCCTGGCATGGGTTTGCAAATCACAAAAGGAACAAGACTGTGATCAAACAACTTTAGACTATATGATATACCTCGACAACTTCCAGTTCAGGTCCCTGGAGAGCATCGAAATAACGTCCAGTTGGAACAGGAGCATTCGAAGTGGTTCCGAGGGCTGATTCTTCATCCATGCTATTGCTGCTGTTCTTCATAAGATTTGGATCTTTGCTGTCTCTCGTCAGCTTGCGAGCGCAGGTGGAAAACGCAGCGTAGCCGTTGTCGATTGTGATGCGCAACTGTTGCTGCATCGGAATCAATAATCGATCGCCACTGGCATTGATCCTCTCAGCGCCAGTATCAGGTTTCATGCCGTCGCTCATCATTAAAAAGCTCTGCACGGAGCAGCAAGGCAAGAAGAAATCCGTGACCAAAGGAAAAAGAAGGTGAGGACCAGGGGCAGAAAAAGAATACGATTTTCTTGCAGCAATTATGTGCGTGCTGCCAGTGCCTTTCCGTGCCACTTTTTTCAAGGGTTTAGTTCCAACACGGCTGCTGACAACCTACAAGAGTCAACAAAGAAAATCTACAACAATGAGCGCCGTGCTTGGCTACGGAATCGTGAAAGAAAAATCCAGTCCTCAAACAGTTTATAGGGGCCCTTAAAAATTACCATGGAATCTAATCAAGAACGGAACCCCCAATAGGTTCACCGGCTGGATCCAGAGACTGAGCCAGTGTCAGCTTCCAACCTAGATCTCAACGACAACCACGTCACCTGCATCATCCCCAGCAGATTCACTGCCACCAGCTTGCCACAGCTCTCCCCCCAACCTTGGGTGCCAATTCCTCAGGGAATTGTATCATCATGGGCAAGACTGAAAAGGTGGCCTTCAATAAGTTCTTTTGTCTCCTTCCCCTCGATTCTAGGGTGAAGGGCTCAGGGATCTGGACAAATGCACAGCAAGGTATGGAGTCCCACCCATGACAGGCAGGCATGGAAGGGATGTGATGCCCATGGGATACGTTCTTTGGGCCGTAATTTATTTATGTAGGATTTGAGCATGAGTGATATTTCCAATAAAAGATATGTAAGCACAATTTGGACTTCCTATTTTCAACTACACATAAAGGATATATATTTTCTCGTGAAAATATAAATATATAATATATAATAAATTAATGTATATTGTTGAGCTCTACTGCTATACATCCTCTTCCAATTTTGTATGTATTGGCTATAGGCTCCATCCATCTTGTAAACATTCTACTATAGAGACACTTCCACCATACATTTAATTCTTCTCTAAATTTTTAAAGTTTCACCATTGCAATTTCAATTGTGTAATATACTCTTTACTTTATAAGGAATTATTATAAAATAACCACAAAGTGGAACTTAACATTTAAACACTTGCAACAGAGTAAAACCTAAAGCTTTGGACCATTAAATGAAGAGACAAAGTTGAACTCCCAAGAATGAATAAGGAAATTAGAATGCAAAACACTCTTGAGCATATAATTAAAAGTGAAGGAGGAACAACTCCAAAACATATAGCCAAAGAGTGAAGAGGAGCATGGAGCAACACTGAAATAATCTTAGAAGATTTAGCATTCTAATGCCAAGAGTTGTATGTTATATATAACCAAATAGAGTTTGGCACTATTTCAATATATTGATGGCTTAATATGAAGATATAAATACTCCATCAATTAGCATATTGAGTTTGGGTTTAAACTCAAGCTGGATGTAAGAAAAAGGTAGACATGTTTAATAGAGAGTTAAACAATATCTCAGCCATGCTTGTAAAATTGGTCACAACTGGTCACATGGCAAAGTGCACATGTGAAAATGGTTTTCTCAATTAGCTTGAGTGGAGACTGATAAAGAGAATTAGCAATGCCAATCTCTTGCCATCCTAAGTAAAAAAAGAATATCTTAAAAGACTTTTTGACAAACAACTTTCAATGCCCATAATCACATTAGTGATAAATTAGACAATTGTTGTTGAAAACACCTCTTAGAAATGCATGAAAACTACATCCCAAAACAAGATGGAAGTGTTCTAATAGTGTGGCATTTCAAGTATAGCATCCACTAGTAGGATGCAATTGTAATAAAACTGCACATTCCTTAGAGCTAAAACATATAACTAATGTACTGATCCACCACTAAAGTTCTATATGATAACTAAGAAATAGTTAATTAGTTGCTAAAAAAAGAATAGATAATATCTCATTGGTAGTATTTGGTATTGAAGATCTATAACCTCTACTAAGAATAGCTTTCTGATTTAAGCAAAAGATATCTCACTTGAAAAACCATATAATTATGATTTTACCAAAGTTACATTCTGATTTGCCTTGAAAATAGAACCATGCTTGCAAAATAATCAAAATAGATAAAGCTATATTTAAAACTATGTGTTATTATAGTGGTTTTTTTTAAAGTTTTCAAGACACAAGCCATGGCTTAACTTCATACCCGCAAAGAAATTGAAGAGGAAGAAGGCTTCAATGAACCAATAATGGAGATTAAAAGTCTATTTGGAGAGACCGCCACTTTGGATATGGTAACAAACGAACTTGATCTTAGAGAAGAAGTTAAAGAGTGAGCTTCAAGTGTTGATAATTTATTCTATATAGAATACTAAGCAAGTATCATGTGGAATTACCTCTTATGAGGTGAAGTGATGTTTAGCTTGCTAATACTATTAGAGTTGATATGGTGGTTTTCGTTTAAACTTCCTGTGTGTGAGCTAGGTTTTGTACAATGTACCCATAATTTTAATTGAATTGGCCAATACAAATAAGGTAAGAGAAAGCCTAGAGATTTGTAAGTGTGAAGAGGCACATGCACTTGAGCTTTTATTATCCCATAGATGGCAATGACCCTTGTGTCTCAAGGAAGGGATTGTGTGATTATATTGTGACTATTTATATCGCTAGAGTGTCATGCAATGGCAAGAGGACCTTTTAGAGATCTATAATGCCACTTGGATGAACTATGGAGCACAAATAAGGGATGCACTTGAGGATGCTCAAGAATCTCCTAGACACAAGTGAGCAAATAGTCAAAAATGGTTGCAAGTGTTGGATGACTAAAGCACTCTATGAAGATGATGGTAGGTATCCATCTCAATAGTGGAATATCCTTGCCAAGGAGCTATACCAAGTCAAGGATAATAAGAGGGGTGGCTAAGAAATGCAACACCATGTTCTAAGGGCAAGAAGTACTTGAAGTGTTATGTTGATCTCCCATCAACTTTATCTAGGAAGAAGCTACACTAAGAGTTGATGGAGTCATTCTCCAACTACTAGGTAGCTTACCTCAACTCTGAGAGGCAAGTGTAGTGGAGAACCAAGCTTCTTGAGCGAGTTTATAAGTGCAAATTGTCAAACCATATCTTCTATGGTTGTGAGCTAAAGATAAGAGATAGTCTCTAAAACTGAGTTTGGCTCATCATTTTCTATCCTTATGATGTATTTGAGGAAAGTAGACTTTCCCACCCCTAAGTTGTCATTCAAGTGAACAATATTGTGGTGAGTTTTGTGATTATGAGCGTGAAGGTTGGGCAAGGGCAATGCAAGGCATAACTTGAAGGTGAAGACGCTTAACCAGAAGTTGACTTGTAACCACATCAATTTCTATACACATAACTTTATAATTTTCAATATGGTTTGTATGCAAGATCTTCAAATAACAAGGATGAGATTGTTATACCAATGGTTGCAGCGACATGT